CTGGAAAAGGAGTCATTATAGTCAATTAAGTTCAGTTTACATTTGAAAAATTAAATAAATAATTATTTATTATTATTCTCTTACATTAAGTGTAACATAAATTCTATTTAGTTAAAAGTATATATAATTATATATTTAGAACATCTCTACCAAACACTAAGAAGTATGTTGTAGCTTTGGCAGTATTGCACAATATAAAATTAATAAATTTCTTTGAAAAATTAATCAAAACTCCTTTATTTGTTTAAAAGGTAAATGACAAATGTCATTATGGTCATTCAAAATTCTTGGCATACGAACTTCACGCATATTCTATTTCTTTTTACTTGTAGATTGTCTTATTCCTATCTCGCTCGCGCACGCTATAATCACACTCCCAATTTTGTGTCACAGGTGCGCGCGCATCGTAAAATTTCACTCTCATAAATTTTTCATAACGCGCCTAAAGAAGTATAACTTCAAAAATTAAAAGGATGAATTGAATATTCTATTCTAATATAAGAAAAAATATATTTTCGATTAGAGTTCTATTAAAAAGTAAATGTTTGAAAGGAGGCAATAAAATAATTGTAGAATGTAGAAGGGAGGTGCTGCTCTTTCTGCAACCTAAAACGGAGCCTTAACTAGTATAACCTCCTGACCGAGCCCCAGTGGCTATGAGAGAAAGGCTACATATCCTTAATCGGAATAAGTTAAAGTATGCCGTGATTACGGATGATCAAAAGAAGGCAGGGATGCTGCTGGTGACAGCAGATGAAAGCCGAGTTGGATCATTTTATGTGACAGTATATTTTCTTTTGTGTAACTTGGTTTGTACCAAAAAAATATTTAAATACAGTGGATTTCGCGTATATCGACGATGAAGGGATCACTCTAATTTCGTCGTTATATCCAGAAGTCGTAACAGGCAACGGTAGAGATAAAGACACGTACATGTGTATAGTTTATATTAACTTATTATTGAAAATATTCACAGGTACATTTATAACATAGGTCACTATCTCACTTTGAAACCGACCCATAAATTTCACTCCGCTAAACGCTTACCTACTTAGCGATTCCGGTCGCAATATCTGCCTGGGATATCTAGGAATTTGTTACAAATGATTCATTAAAAACAGTCGCGAAAAAAAACAAAAAAAAAAAAAAAAAAACATAGTGATGAATTTTTTATTAAAAACATATTCAAGGGACTTCGATTTGACATCTTTGTAGCTAAATGATCGCTACAACCAACGTCGTAATAAATGAAATCCACTGATTTAAGTCTCTTCCAAACCTAAGCATATACCTTAGGCTAAATTATTATTATTAATAATGCAAATGCAGTATTACTACAGTACTGTAGAATTGACTCCAGGGGCACGGTTCACATTCATCCACAGAACATAATATCTCTTGGTCAGGGGCCCTTTTGAGTCGGGGGCCCGTGGCATTTTGCCAGCACAGCCACCTTATTATTACGCCACTGTCTACGGTATACCGTAGTTAGTGAGTTAATGAGCACAAAGGCAGAAAGTGCATTGGCGAACCGGGGTTCAAACGTACGACAGTGTAGCACTAGACAAACAGTGTAAGGTAAATAAAACACTATATTTTAGGTAAAATATTTTTAAATCATCCACACAATTAACAGTCATTTAAAAAGGTCTATTTACAATCTACACTCAAATTAATGCCTTATAACAATATTTTATTGCAACACAATTATTATAAATTTATAATAATACTAGCTGATTCGGCAAACATCATTTTGCCATGCATTTATAATAAAAAATAGGGGTTTATCGTTGAGGGGTGAAAATTAGGGCAATGTATTTTTTAATGCTGTATCATAAAAAAAAAAAAAAAAATTTTGGGGGATGAAAAATAGATGTCCGATTCTCAGACATACCCAATATGCACACAAAATTTCATAAGAATCGGTCAAGCCGTTTCGGAGGAGTTTAACTACAAACACCGCGACACGAGAATTTTATATATTAGATTATAATTATCATTATTATATTACCTCACTGTTTTGTAGTTTACAAAAAGTTTCTAGGAATATTTTTGAAGTGAAACTTATTTATCGGCGTTGGAAAAAAATTTAGTGTAACATTTTTGCGTTACGCGTCACATTTTTCCGTTACGCGCCATGTTGCTTTTTGAAGTCAAACTTCTTTATCGGCGTTAAAATATGACATATAGTATGTTTTTGACTTTGAAGTTTGGCAACGGATTACATTTTCGAAGTCAAACTTCTTTATCGGCGTTAAAATATGACATATAGTATGTTTTTGACTTTGAAGTTTGACAACGGATTACATTTTCGACTTGAAATTTGCTAATCGCAATTTGCAGCAATTAATTTGTAAATTGTATGCTAGGCAGTGTATCAAAATTTACTGTGTTTAAAGAAATAGTTTCTAATAAGGTCATAAAGAAGTTTCACTTCTTACGTGTGTACACCTAGTACACGCACACATTTATTTTACCTCATAAGGCATTATTTTAACTAAAACCATTTAGAGCAGTGTTTCCCAACGGGGTCCACGCCCCACAGAGGGACAATTTGATTGTTAAGGCTATCCGATTTTTTTTTGTAAATAATTATTTGTAATTTCAGTTTTTCACTATGTTTTAAATACTTAGCGTGTTTCGTTAACAATTTCCAAGTAATTTTTTCCTAAAACCTATTATTTATGTTTCTTAAGTGAGCAATTCATTTTAGATATTAAGAATTTTAGGAAGGCTAAGGTGGGGCATGGCACAAAATAAGTTGGGAAACACTGATTTAAAGGCATATACTTTTCAACCAGTACTGTGTATACTGTTTAGCTTAAACTGAATCGACTTTAACCGTTTTCGTGCTACAAATCGCTGCCATCGTTGAAAGTAAAAACTATAAAAAAAAACAATTTTATATTTATTTTTTCTTATTCACATTCACAATTAACAGATATAAATCTAAGAACATTTTTTCGTGCATTTTTGCAAAATTGCTTAGCACTGAGACGCTCAAACAAAACCTCATTAACACAATCTTATTTACCTAACTCGACATTTACAATGCTTTATAGCTTTTAAGTCACTTGAAACGTCGAATTATGAAAATAATTCATTAAATATTTCGTTCGGTTACAATTTGATAATCCCGCGTAAATCAAATGACGCATCGGTTTCATGTGTCAAAATTAAAAATGTCAAACGTCATAGAAAAATGTGACATATGAAGTTTCTGTTGGTATTTATAAATATACAGAAGTCATTTTCACTTAAACTAATACATAAACATACTTAAAACTAAGTAATTATTATAAATAAATTATTCTTCATTGCCAGATACAAAAAAAAAGTCGGTGGAGGTGATTTTTTTAATGTGAATTATAAGAGTGTAGTAATTATTATAAATAAATTATTCTTCATTGCCAGATACAAAAAAAAAGTCGGTGGAGGTGATTTTTTTAATGTGAATTATAAGAGTGTATTTAAATCATCAAAGCATTTTATTATTAATTTAGTTAAGTTAATCATATTCACGCCAACATACGGCCTACTATGGCTTCACGTCCACTTAAATGGCGTTTATAAGTAAAATAGCCGTTTAAGTAATGGCTTATCACAACCAATATATTCCGACAATAAAATAATTTAAAGCAATAAGCACCATATAATAAACAAACATCAATAAGTTAAAAATAGATGGCTTGAAAAAATCTCAAATAAAATAATACAATTTAAAATATAGAAGAAACCAGAGGCTCCACTAAGGGTATTAAATATCTAACAATGTCATGTAATTTAGTTACAAGATTGCAGTAGAAAAAACTTGTTGTACTTATGTACACGCGTTAGAAGTTATACTTCTTTGGCATGATAAGATAAAAATCTTTTCAAAAAAATTATTCTGCGTTTGTAGAAAAAACGCCACTAACCATAGAAAAAACTAAAAGGTAATAGCTAACTTCAGGGTGTCGGTTTTTTGTGACGGTGTGCGCGTGCATCGTAAAAATGTACTCTCATCATTTTTCCCTAACGCGCCAAAAGAAGTATAACTTCAAAAAAATCCACAGTTTAAGGGTCCAGTTAATATTGGCAAATATGCGATCTGGTCTTCCTCCAATAGCTGTAAGCATATTTGTTGCAAACCTAACGTGTTTAGAGGAGTTGTTCGGATTAATGCTCGCAGCTTAGTTTCATCATCAGACGTAGAGGAATCGCAATTCCACACGTATCACCTCGACGTGTGTTCGACAACTGAGCGTTATTTAAGGCAGTTTCCCCGCAACCACTATGTGGAACCAACTCCCCACTGAAGTATTACCGAACCCATTCGACTTAGGGTCCTTCAAGAAAAGAGCGTACCAATTCACACGGTACCACTTAACATTATACACTGATTTTTAATTCCGTAGAATTCTGACATTTCATAAGTGTTGCTACTAAAAAAAACAACTGTTTCTCTACCGAAACAGGGACAAATTTGACCCATTTGAAGGCAATAAAAAATAAAATGCGACGTATTTTTATGTTTTACCTACAAAAAGGTAAATATTTACTTAATCAAGTGACCTAATACAGAAATAACAAATATTTCAATATCACGATTCACGAACAATATATCGCATTAATTTTATTTTATTCTTTAGCTGGCATCACTGCCTACTTATTGCAGGTTTAGTAAACCTTAAAATTATAGCTGTCAGAATTCTACGGAATTAAAAATCAGAGTATAGGTGAGCCTCCTGTCCGTCAGCCCCTAGAAAGTTATTTTGGATAGTTTATTTTTACAGCGAAGATCTACGAAGGTACGAAAGAATAATACAATGTTTATTTTCTTACAACAATTCTTGCCATCCAACGATTTATAATTAATATCGATGCTGAAAATTGCACAGTACCAAATTCATATAAAATTCACGTATAACGCTTTAACAGCTAGGGCTCTTTCACATTTGATTGTTCATGAATCAGGCCACGAATTAAGACTATCAAACTGGTCATATGTGCGCGTGGCACTAGTGAAATATACTCCAAAACGTCGATAATAGAATGATGAGGTCGCTGTAAATTTTGGGCGCGTTGCAAGCGAGAACATCGTTGGGGTATAGATTCGGCGGTGGCGCCTCTTCGCCTCCCTTGCAATATTCATTGCGTGACTGAAATTATAAAGAATTACTTTTAAAATTAAATTACTTTCTAAAGCTTAGCATGGGACTAGGTCAATTGGTGTGAATTGTCTAATAAAAATAAAAAAAAATTAGTGGAAACAAACTGTACACAGTTTTTCTGTGCCACCAGGACATCGAACAGATTTAAATAATTAATTTACTTTGGCTAGTGGCGTAACTATAGCATTCGGGGCCCGTGGCAAATTCTTTTGATGGGACTCAATCAGTAAAAATCGTCACGTCAGTTGATTTTCATAAACTTCCAGATTTTCAGCGTTCTCAAATACACGTTGAATATGTACCACTAATAACCATAGGCCTCCTCTCTTGGGCGAGAGGGAATGGTGTTTAGTCCCCACGCTAGCCCAATGCGTATTGGAGACTTCACATTCATCCATAGAACATAATATCTCTTGAGTCGGGGGCCCGTGGCATTTTGCCAGCCCTGCCACCCTATTGCTACGCCACTGCCAGTGACATCTGACCATTAAATTTCGCGTAAAGCGTCACAAACCAATTGAAACACCGACGCTTCATAGCCGATGCAAGCAACCTGTTCTTGACAAATATTCTCATTCGAATACAGGATGTGTTCCTATATTTAACTATAGTAAATAATAGAACTTACAGCAAACTCATCTCCACACATTTCTCTGCAAGGCGGACAAACGACGCCGCCTTTGTGAAGCCAGCCTTTTTGTATTATTCGCACTTGCAACACTTGTCCCGCAAAGTAACAGGTATACGTGTAGTTGCCAACCTAAAAAAAATAAAAAAGTAAGTTTGAGGTCGCTGCTGTGTTAAATTAACTTTTTTATCTTGACAACACTGTTATACTTCGACACAAAACTAAAAACGATGTAAAAATAATTATATTCGTTGCCATAACTGCCACGCCTTGCCGCACACTCAATAAATGGATTATGTATTAAATTGGCAATTACTGTCACAGCTAACAAAATTTAAATAATGTATTATTTATACACGTAATATCGCCATTGCTCCAACATTATTATATAATGAAATTAACAGATTATTTGTGATGATACTCACTATAATATGCAGTCGACCACTGTCACACTTATATTTATAGCAACCGGATCCCCAGTGTTGCCATTCTCTAATCTGAAATAATATAAATCATTAAAATTTAAATTTTGGTAAAAATTATTAATCTTGTCAATATTTATTAATTTTTTTATGTATATAAAATTCTTGTGTTTTTTTATGTATATTGAAATGTGTTTGTAACTAAAATCGTCCGAAAGGCCGATATTCGGTAGATCTGAACTTGGGTTTATCCGCAAAAGGCCAAGCTCAATTTTTTTATATTCTGGCATTAAAAATGCACATAAATTTTCGTTCTACATATATAATATATAGAGAAATACACTCTTTTATACATATTATCTCGATTAATTCATATCTTTTTTACATGTATTGTATAAAAGTACCCATAACCGACCTGTATGAACGTGGAAGAAAGAGAGAGGTATGTCAGGTGAAGGAGATCCGTCTCTGCCTATCGCTTTGGGAAAATATATAGATAGATAGAAATGCAATAAGTGCCTATATACCTGTCTACAAGATTTCTGCTCCCACACCCGATCGCTATGGTCGAAACACTTGGAGTGTGTTCCGTAGTTTTCTAACGCGAAATTTACATCAGTCTCTGTAAAAAGAATATATTTAATAACATAGTAATAATAATTATTATTAAAATGGATAAATATGACTAAAATAAATGTAAAAAGTTTCGTCCTAACGCAATGTAACTTTAATGCTGGCATATTTATTACTATCACATGACATACGTGTGCTTAGACACAAAGTTAAATAAAATTTTAAAGGTAAGAAAATTTAACAGAATTAAAAAAATATATCAGATTCTTAAAAAAAATACAGATGAAAAAAAAACAGCTTAAAAAAACAGATCTAAAAAAAGATTACCGGATTAAAAAAAAATAACAGATTTAAAACAAATTACAGATTTAAAAAAAAAACAGATTTTTAAATCAGATTCAGGTTTTTATTCAATTGACTCACAATATTATTCTTTAATAGTTGGCCTTATATTATACAAAGATAATTAAAGGATAATTAATATCTTCATATTCTGTATATAACAGAATATGAAGATATTAGGGGTATTTTTTAGAAGTTACATTTTCGTCTGGTACAAAACTATAGCTCTGATCTTCATAAAACGTTGCTAGAGATATTTCGAAACACAAAGCAATACAATAAATACTTTAACGAATTATCGTTTAATGGTCCATTTGTAATAAAAGGACTATGAGATAATCCTGCATATGGCTGCACCTTAAAACTGCTTTAAATCACATTTTTCATCAGAAATTTCATTTTATATCCTAAGTATCTATAATAACAGCCTGTCAGCCAGCCAGCCCAAAATCATCAATCCACAAACAGCAGAGCTATGTATGAACATTAAAAAAAACACGTCGCATTGATAAGCTTCTTAGGTGATTTTATTGCCCATCAGATAGTTATGACAGACAGACAAGACATAATACAATATATCGACAATATAGTGAATAGTTCAGCTATTGAGGAATACCACATGCTATATTCACTATTACCAGCTGACTATTACTAGCTGACTATTACCAGCTTACTATTACCAGCTTACTATTACCAGCTGACTATTACCAGCTGACTATTACCAGCTGACTATTACCAGCTGACTATTACCAGCTTACTACTTACTAGCTTACGTAACTTACTAGGTGTATTCTCCTCATAGGAACATCGGCTGCCTCGTAGTAGTACGCTCTTGTGTTTCCACGTGAACTCCTGGAGATATGGGCAGTAGTCTGCCAATGATACAGAACCTCCGTAGTGGGATTCGTCACCCGATGGCACATTTGGTAAAGTATCGAAGTGCTGGAAAATATATAATTATAATAATAAAAAAATTCAACTTTATTAACAAATATTCGGTGATCTTTTAAACAATATATAACATTTATTATTTTATAAATTCAACTGTCTCTAATGTAAAAATCCTTACATTAGAAGCCTGGAATATGTTTCTATAACTTATTTGGCAGATTACACGATTTAAAATAAATATCTTTAAATTTATATAGATATTTTGTATATTTTAATTAATTGACTTATATTCTTCAAGAATTCGTAAATCAAAGAGTTAGTGGACATTATCGAAAACGAGAATGAGTTACAATTCACGAGTGTGTGAAAAACTCAAGGCCTCATATAGGCTTCAAGTGATTGCTAACATTTGGTTTGCGCTTCTAAATATTTACTAAAATATCTATATATGTTACTTAATTAAGTTTTGTTTCAGGTTTAGTTTCATTTTAATTTTTTTTATATATTCTGTTTCGAATATTTTGTGAAATTTAATCTGTTTTATCTTTGTATATTATTGTCTAAGTGTTTTCTTTTATAATATGTATAATGTATATGTGCAGTTGTAAGATTAAAAATAAATAAACACAAATAATTACCTGGTACTGTCTGGGAAGTATGTTGTCGTGTCTGACTAAATTGCAGAGTACCACAGCATTACGACGCGGCGAGCATTCCGTTCGCAACGGTTCGCCTTTGATTCGCTCACAAAATGGCGCCGGGTTTTTCCGCCTAAAATTTATTGTAATTAAAATAAGAGGGTAGGATGTGTTGTTGTTGGGAATTGATGAGCTGTTGGCGACTATTGACTAAGTCACTCTGTCTTTAGCCGTCGTGCTGTGCGGACGTTTGTAAGTTTTGTGAGATTAATTAATTTTTTTAATAGTCTTTCTTCCGAATTCTAACAATATTTTTGATTCACAGTGCAATATACGTATATAGCACTAGTGTGCAAAAATCTGGATGATTTAATAAAACTTACATGATTTCCGTGTCATTGTTGTCGCTTGTAAGGAATTAAAAAGAATTAAAATATATAAAAACAGTTTATATAGTATTTTTACCTAGATACTTACTCAGTAGAATTTTCCACGCTGCATGTATTTACAAGTTATTTATCAGTATGTACATAAATCTCATGAAACATGTTCTATCCTTGTTACTCTAGTTAAGCTTATGATGAAATGAAAGAGACAGAATATTCTACGAGCTAAGGTACATTTATCCCAAACGAATTTAAAATAAACTATATGACCACTAGATGGCGTTCAAAGCAATATTATATTACTACCTTTACTTTGCGGTCTGAACCAATATGAAGTCAGCACGAAAATATCTTTAAAGAACCTCTAAATCCCGAATTCGTTATTAATAGTTTTTGTTACTTGAATATAGATGGCGTGCATTTCCATAACATATTAGTTCCTTCACCTTTGCGTATTGAAACAGCATGAAGTCATGGAGAAAATATATTTAAATATCAGATAAAGTTATATATATATTAAACACGTTCTGTATGTAAGTTTTAGTCACTTCAACATAGATGAGCGTGGCATATATTTTTTTTACCACTAGATGGCGTGCATTCCCATAACAATTAGTACCCTTAACTTTTGCGTATTAAACTAGTATCAAGTCGTCGACAAATTATCTGCAAATAACAGACAATACTATCTAAATCCCGAATTCGTAATTAATAGTTTTTGTTACTTAATCATAGATGGCGTTGCATATGACTTATTAACCACTAGATGGCGTGCATTCCCATAACATAATAGTACCTTAACCTTTGCGTATTGAGCCACTGTTTGCAGGAAGTCGTTGCGAAGCCACAACCCAAGTTCTTTCCCCAATGGAGGGGGGAAGAGAGGGAGTAGTCCGCCCTGTACCAGCCTGTATCTTCCATCATGGCGAATGTGATTCTACTGAACACACTGTTTTGAGTGTGCGTACCGGTCATGGCTTCGTTCTGTGAATAAGCGCAAAATGTTCACGTAAGTATGTAACTATTTTCGTTGGGCGTCAAATTTTTACGTCGATTAAATGTCAATGTCAAAATTAAGTTTCATGTGATATAAATATATAATCTATTATGGACTTCGTCTGAAAATTTATCTATAGAAATAAAAAAATAATCGCAAAATATGTTGCTAATTTGAAAAAAAAATTGGTTTTTATTCTGGAAAGTCAAACAGTCTCTAGGGGTAGCATAGCGAAATGGTCCATATAGTGGTGTAAGGTAGGCTAAGTACAAAAATCATATAAGGGCGAACCGAAGTTTGCGGGGATACCTAGTTAAAAATAAATTAAGTCAACAGACGTACCTCAAAAACTCTTTTCTCCCAATGTGTGAGCGCAGTTCCGTCTCCACCTTGATCTTCTAATTCAGCGCCCTCTAGTATTGAGCAGTTGAAGTGTTCACGGACCTGAAATATTATAATATAATTTGGCGTAAAAATATGGATGATTTGTGTCTGTCATTACAGCGTCTTGCACCAAAGGTCGATGTCAATATCTTGTATATTTTGATTTGTTACTGTTTGTAGCGGTAAATTGTAGATGGCGCTATACTCAGTTCAAGAAGTATTTTGAATTCTACGTAATTTGTATATGTAAACTTAATCTTTTTGTACGATACTTTCATTAATTTCTTTAAGCATCCCTCCGCCGTGCGACAAGATATTCACAATAGTTCCATGTGCCTCGTACAAACACGAATTATGTGTGTCATTCACCAATATATCGGGTTTTCTTATACTATAATACAATTTATGAAGTAGACATTTTCCACCTTATCAAAGAGGGTGTGATGAAATATTTGAGTAAGCAGGGGGACTTCGACTTTATTTAGCAGTAGTAACATTGTTTTTTAAATGTTAAGTTGTAGTTTGTTTAACTTTAGTTTTTTTATCTATTAATGTTCTTTATTAACTTATGTTTTCTGTACCGTATATTTTGTTAAATGTAATTTGTTTTAGTTTTTTATAGTGTCTAAGTGTTTTCTTTTATAATATATATATGTGTCGCTGTAAGATTACTTATAAATATATAATTTGCATTAAATTTTGATTAAGTAGGAAATCGCGTTGTAGGTACTCGTAAAACCGTAAATATGGTCTTGACAAATCATTTTAAATTTCACACTACAGTAATATAACTTGAGAAATCCTCGCGTTATGGTGGGAAATACCGCGTTATATGGGGGACGGAAATCGCGTCATCGGGGTGCCGCGTTATAAATCACTACAACTCACCTCTTTAACAACTCTAGGAGTAACAATCATATGCAGGGTCCTCTCCATATAGCCACCTCTGATCATCCATCTTGGCCTGGTAATGTTCTTAACTACACGGTCTGACCATTTATGGATTTGGAGCCTGAAAATAGAAACCGCGTAAATATGCATCCTTGTTTAGATGGAGCAGTTTTCTATATTTATCAACAGATGGCGTTGTGCTCACTGACATTAAGTTTAAAATGCGATGGCGAAACAGAAAGTATTTGGGTTTCATATTTTTGTTAAACTTTTAAAGGTGTTTTTTGACCTGTGCAGCAACTTTATGTGTGTTGTCTCATCATCGGACGTTAAGGCCGAATACGAAATTCCATCCGTATCACCTCGACGCAGGCTTTTGAAATGTAGTTATTACCACCACTATGTGGCATAAGTTCACGGCTAAAGTATTTTCGAACCAATTCGACTTAGGGTCCAACAAGAAAAGAGCGTACCAATTCTCAAAAGGCCGGCAATAGGTGGAGGGCGGTATCACTAAACATTAGGTGGGCCTCCTGCCCGTTTGCCTTGTTCTATGAAGAGAAAGAATAAGAAGTGAAACTCCTTTGGAATTTTTTTAAGTCTTGTTCATAATTATACAAATCTAAAACTTTAGATTTCCGAGACTTAAAGGGTGGGACAAAGGAAGATATGTAAGGAATTAAATGAATTTAATTGTCATTAAAATATTAAATGTCGAAAATTAATACAAATAATAAATGTAATTTTTTAAATTGATTTCTTCGATAATTAAAACACGTGGCATTTTAATTTACAATTCGATTTCAATAAATTATTTTGAAATATAAAATACAAATATTTCATCAATTCTGTTTACGAAATTTTAATTTAAAAAATAGAATTTCTCTAAGGTAATTCACCCTTCTCACTCTCTCTCTCAATCGGTCTCAATCGGTCTCTCCCTTTTCTTCGACAAAAACGCTGCACATCTTCTTGACGTTCCGTATAAAATTTATCATCTGCGCCTAAAGAAGTTTCACTTCAAAAAGCGGGGGTAGTGTCTCTTAAAGGTCTGTTGTTTACGATTCGTCAACAAAATAGTTGTTTATAATAGTCGTATATAAGATTGCCAGTAAGTTGGTTAGGGGGCGTCCATAAATTACGTGAGGTGTTTAAGGGGGGAGGGGGTCGAGTCAAATCTCATTGAATCTTACGTTGGAGAGAGGGGTCTCGGCAAATATCACGCAATTTTTTTTCTGATTGAAAAAAAAACTAGGAAAACGGTAGACCCTAAAGACCATCTCTGCAACTTCCCGCTAACTCCATGCCTAAACGCTCAACATTTCACTTATTTTGTTTTAGTCGTAAATAAAAGCACGAAGCAATTTTTTTGCCTTTTTACAATAACAATCCAACGCGTTTACGTGAGAAACGCACATTTGAAATCTCACGTGAGATTGGGGGATGGGGGAGGGAGTCACAGAAAATTAAAAAAAACACCTCACGTAATTTATGGACGCCCCCTTAGGAATAGCTACTAAGTTTTAGTTTTACCGCCGTCCATGGACACTCGCAAAGCAGAGGGCACGCGCGTTGCCGGCCATTTAAGAATTGGTACGCTCTTTTCTTAAAGGACCCTAAGTCGAATTGGTTCGGAAATACTTCAGTGGGCAGCTGGTTCCACATAGTGGTGGTGCGCAGCAAAAACTGCCTTAAAAAACGCACAGTTGTGGAACGACTAACTAAACTATCAATTAAGCAAAAGTACGCACTCAAAACCGATACTTACTGCTCATCTAATGGCGGATTTCCTGTGTCTACACGTCTTGGTGTGAGCGGATCGCCATTTTCATCTCTGAAACACGCGAATTAAAAAAATTAATGAGTTGCGCTACAACTTTAGGTCTGGGCCTCAGATTTCTGTAACTATTTCATGATCATTTGTTAATCTAATAGGCAAGTAGGTGATCAGCCTCCAGTGCCTGACACACACCGTCGACTTTTTGGAAGACAAGCCGGTTTCCTCATGATGTTTTCCTTGACTTTTCGAGAGAATGTTAAATGCGCACATAGAAAGAAAGTCCATAGGTGCACAGCTGGGGCTCGAACCTACGACCTCAGGGATGAGAGTCGCACGCTGAAGCCACTAGACCACAGTTCGTTTTTTATATAAAAAAATAAAATATGTTTATTATGGAATATAAGATACACGTCTCACTTATTCCACGTAAAATTCATTAAATTAATAGTTATTATTATTATGTCAAAAAAGCGCACACACGCAAACATAGAATGTGCGTTCGATCTAAAGGATCCTCGATCTGTCTAACCACAGATTACAAATGATTCTAGTCACAGACTATAAATGTAATACCTCAACACCAACTATGCAAAAAAACTCCGTTTTGAATCGCGCAGCCCGGACACACAACGACCACTATTTAAGCCATGACTTGTTTAAGCTATCGCGGAATATGCTTAAAAGGAGTATGTATTAAGAATATCCATAGCGCTAAACCTGCATCATGAGCACATCCCACATACACACTTTCACATACATAAACCTCACTTTCACACCATCACACTACAAAGCCAAATTAGTTGAATGTATTTAATAATTTTTATAGATTTTTTTCTTTACGTAAATGTTTGAACATTTTTGTATATACATATTATGTATTCCATCGTTGCCTATATGTTTAGTATAATTGTTTTTTGTTATATATAACTTATGTTAGCTGTACAATTACGAAATAAATAAATAAGATACTATTAAATAAAGTTTTTGACTTACCTATAAAACCCGAAGAGGGACACGCTAAATCCCAGCGCGTGTAGCATTTCGTGTTTGACAGTTGACAGCACGTGTGGTAAGTCCCTGTAGCGGGTTGATAGCTCGCCGGGGCAGAAATTGGCGTGACCAGCTACTGGTCTGCAAATAAAATATTCACAATTCATTTAAATGTGCGACGTTGAATCTCTTGATTTATAGTGTGGTTAATGAAAGAAGATAATTGAATTATTTGAAAACTTTCGGATGGCAACACAGAATGTCATTGAATTTCTTAGGTTAGTATGATTTATTTTCTTGATACTTCATGCAATTACTTATTTTGATTTCTCTTATATTATAATGTTATATGTAATGCCTAAACTTTGTTTAATTTGATATATTATTTCGTTTCTTTCGCAGGATTTGATTATTCCGAATAAAGTTGTGTTTTACAACAAATTTAGTATTAGTTTTCCATGCAATCCTAGTCATTTTAAGTATTAATAGTTCAAGACTAAATACGTATAGTACTTAATTTCATAGAAATACAGTTACTATCAATGTAAAAAATAATAAAATAAAATCAAGTATCAAGTAAGTTTAATCCACAAAATATATCAAACTTTTAGGGATACCATACTAAAAAAATTGAATTTGTCGCGCTTTTTCCTTATCTTCTTTCATTAGCCAGACAATTTTGTAAACTAAGTATCAATACTATTAAACTTTTTGGTTCTAAGGCTCACAATTTTTTTTAGCTTAATTACGTTATAACTTAAGTAAGTCCCTTAAGACTTAATTTTACCAACATAGTGTAACGTGAATTTCATAGAGAAAGTCTATTAGACTAGCCGGGATTCGAATCTACGATCTCAGAGATGAGAGCTCATGTAGGCACGTAAGTTTTCCAGAAAGTTTTGCTATGAGTAGCCAAATTCTGATGATGACTGAAAATGTTGTTACCTGTCCAGCGCTGATTCCTGTTGACAATGCGATGCGTAGGCGACGGTCAGGCCACGCCTGCACCTCTCAGTTTCGACGGCACTTACATATAAAACGAAATCTGTGTTTTCTATACCTATTGACTCTTCTTGCGGTGCTAAAAAGACAAAAACTCTTTACGAAATCAAAAGCTTAACCCTAATAAACAGGGTGTCCCAAAAGTCGACGTCAAGTCGAAATTTTCTCATAGGTAATGCCACACCAGTTATCAGAAAAATTAAAAAAAAAAAAAATAAGTCATGTATTTTTGAAGTTATGGATATTTTTTTGTTATTCCAGAAAATGCACACCATGTGACAGTTTTTTCATTCCTGTTGTTACAAATATTTACTTTTTTGCCAATTTTTTTTCTTTTACGTCATCCCGAATAGTGTTTTATGTAACCTATGATCCTAAACTCTGTGCTGATCACTCCAACTTTTAGGAAAATGTCATTTTATACCGTACCAAGTTTTCAAAATTAATTTTCGCACTACTTCAACTGATCGTCCTGAAAAAAAAATGTACTACTCCAGTTTGGCAAGTAGCTTTAAAAGTTAGCGCATTTAATAAAGATTCTACAGTGGCATAACACTGAGTCCATTACTTCTTAGATCGGCCATAAGAATTTTTTTTTGTTAAACAAAGTCTGTTATTAACAATCTCTTTGAAATTACAACAAATGATTCTAGCGCACCCAAAACGTTCCTAATGACCACAGCGTGGTTTAAATAAGATGGAGAGAGACATTCCATAAAATGTAAGCGAGACAGATAGTGACGCTTATGACGGCACGTCCTCCAGCAAATTGGGCAAATGATGAAATCTAAATAAATTTCAGCATTTAAAACTTCTGATAACTCAAAAGGCCCTATGACTTTTCCGTTCAAAATTCCAGTCCACATGTTAACTTTGAAACGGTACTGTGATCTGTCTGGTCTCATCAATCGTGGATTTTCGACGTGCCACTCGTGCAGATTGTGTAGGTTCATGTAGCCGTCTTTTTAAAAAGTTGATTCATCCGACCATAAAATTTTTTCTAAGAATTGTGGGTCTTCTCGGTGTTTTTGAATTATTGTTTGGCAAAAAGCAACCAGAGGTTCATAATCTCCAGGTAATAAGGATTGTACTCGCTGTACATGAAATGGATGGAACTCATTTTTTTGTAGTATTCGGTGAGCTGTACTTTTGGGCACACCTGTGCTGGCATCAATTCCACGTACCGAACAACTTGGGTCCTCATCAACTGCTTGAAGGACAACTGCCTCGTAGGGTAGTGAAATTCTACCTTCACCGTGCACTTGGTTTGGCAGTCGGCCCTCAGAGAACAGTAGACGGTGCACATTGGTAAAAACTCTGTGATCCGGATAGCGATCTGCATTAGGGTATCTCTCGCGATACCGTCTAGCGGCTTCACTGGCATTACATAAACATTCCCCATAAATGAGGTGCATGTTAGCATATTCCTGTGTAGTGTACGTAGCCATGGTATGGTACAAATACGCAATAACACGTAAGTCCAGGGAAAAGTAAAGGTCGTCCTAGATCACAAATGTAAAATCTAAATCACAAGCAGACAAGTCCGTAAACGAAGCCAAAGTAGTTAGAACACAAAATAACACCAGCGAATACGAAAAGATGCGTAGTAAACGAAGGAGCGTTGCGTACTGACCTGTAGTGCGTGTGTCAATAGCAATAAGTAGCGTCACTATCTGTCTCGCTCACACTTTACGCCATCTTATTTAAACCACGCTGTGGTTATTAGGAACGCTTTGGGTACACTAGAATCGTTTTTTGTAATTCCAGAGAAATTTTTAAAAAACAGACTTTGTTTAACAAAAAAAATTTTTATGGCCGATCTAAGAAATAATGAAGTAAGTATTATACCACGTTAGAATCCTTATTAAATGCGCGAACTTTTAAAGCTGCTTGCCAAACTGGAGTAGTACATTTTTTTTCAGGACGATCAGTTGAACTAGTGCGAAAAATTAATTTTGAAAACTTGGTACGGTATAAAATGACATTTTCCTACAAGTTAGAGTGATCGGCACAGGGTTTAGGATCATCGGTTACATAAAGCACTATTCGGGATGACGTAAGAGAAAAAAAATTGGCAAAAAGTAAATATTTGTAACAACAGGAATGAAAAAACTGTCTCATGGTGTACATTTTCTGGAATAAAAGGAAAATTTCCATAACTTCAAAATACATGATTTAATTTTTTTTTTAATTTTTCTGATAACTGGTGTGGCATTACCTATGAGAAAATTTCGACTTGACGTCGACTTTTGGGACACCCTGTATATATAGCCAATAATAACAATTGCAAAGTTGAAATATATTTAATATTTAAATTGCAGATAATTCTTAATATAGTATGTCTTTTATTGAAGTGAAAATTCTTTAGGCGCTTGAGGAAAAATTGTTTTACGGAACGTCACGAAGATGTGCAGCGTTTTTGTCAAAGTAAAGGGAGAGAGCGATTGAGAGAGAGTAAGAAGGGCAAATTACCTTAGAGAAGTTATACATAAAAATTATAATTTCGTGAAGGAAATTTATGAAATATTATCATTTAATAGTTTATGCAAAATAATTTATTGAAATCTCAAATGACGAATTGTAAATTAAAATGCCACGTGTTTTTATCATATTATATCTTCCTTTTTCCCTCCCTCTAAGTCTTGGAAAACTAAAGTTTTAGATTTGTATAAATATGAACAAGAGTTAAAATTAGTTTGCCAAAGAAGTTTCACTTATAAAGCGATTTTTATACCCTTAATGGAATATTATTCCAAAAATGTTTAGTTAAATGTCTAGAATATGAAAAAAAGTTTCACTTTTACCGTGGTTTCATAAAACGACACAATCCTTTTTTCATTTTTGGGACAGGAGGCAAACGAGACAGCGGACACTTTAAACGAAGTGATAACTGGACACCTGCCCATGGACACCTGCAACGGGGGCTAGTGTTTTGCCTTTCAGAGAATGGTACTCTCTTTTCTTGAAAACCCCTTCGTATCGGTACGGAAATACGTGGTGGCTCCACATACAGGTGGTTGGCGCCAGAAGAAGTCTTAAAAAGCACTGTGTTGTACCAGGCGTTGAGATAGTCTCACTACCACTATGAAGAACCAGCTACTGAAGTATTTCCCATTCAATTCGACTTACAGTATTTCAAGAAAAGACCCTACTAATTCCTATAATACCGGCAAGGCTTGCCTTCTGGCAATGTGAGTGTCTATGGGCAGTATCACTTATCATCAGATTCATCTCCTAAAAAAAAGTAAATGGAATTCTGGCTCGACTCGACGTCCGATGATGGACTTCGTCAGAGAACGATAAATGATAAATGCGGTAGAATTTACCTGCCGTTTCCGTCTCGGCACTGTCCAGTGAATTATCACTGAATTCAGTGGTTGTCACCTCGTCAGGATACCTTGGTAATTCCCGGCAAAGATGTCCCGTACTATTGCAAACGTGGCATGGCTGGAAAGAACATATTTATTATGTATATGTGATTAAAATTACAAATTATATTAAACCTATCGCTAAATATGTCGCTACAAGCTTTTTAGGTCTGGGCCTCAGATTGTATTCATGATCATTTGCCAATCTAATAGGCAAGTTAGTGATCAGCATCCTGTGCCTGACACATGCCTTCGACTTTTTGGGTCTAAGGCGAGCCGGTTTCCTCACGATTTTTTCCTTCAAAGATCGAACGAATGTTAAATGCGCACATAGAAAGAAAGTACATTGGTGCACTGGGGATCGAACCTACGACCTCAGGGATCACACGCTATAGCCACTAGGCCACACTGCTCAACTTAAACTAAATTTATTTACAGAGAGGAATTGCTGCCAGCGTTAAAGGTACACTGCCACAGGGACCAAACTATTTAAATTTGTTTTAATTTATTGACCCTTTATTTAAATGTCCAGGGGTTTATAATTAAAGTTTCTAGGCAAAGAGAATATGAATTTAATTATGAATATAAACTCCGTTATAGTTTTGGGTTAGTCCAATTTATTTTAACAATAAAACGAAATTGAATTTCGCTTTGTAATTTTCACTTCGTGCAATGTATTTCAATTGGTTCCACTTTATAGGTAATATTTTTTATATTTTTACTCTTTTAATTTCTAGATTTTATAACTTCTGTAACTGAATTTAGAGTTAAAAAAAATCAGTGGCGCTACAACCTTTTTAGGTCTGGGCCTCAGATTTCTGTATTTTTTTCATGATCATTTGTCAATCTAATAGTCTAGTAGGTGATCAGCCTCCTGTGTCTGACACACGCCGTCGAATTTTTGGGTCTAAGGCAAGCCGGTTTCCTCACGATTCCTTCACCGTTCGAGCGAATGTTAAACGTGCACATAGAAAGAGAGTCAATTCGTGCACAGCCGGGGGGATCAAACCTACGGCCTCAGGGATGAGAGTTGCACGCTGAAGCCACTAAGCCAACTCTGCACTGAATTAAATGTGTAATGGTATACAGAATTGTAATAAAAAACGTACACGTTTATTCATCCTTAATTTTTCCTATTTAAAATTTTTGAATAACCAGTGGCTAAGGCGCGAATTGTGACATTTATATTCGTCAAAATGAAGTGTACGTTTATAAACTTAGTTTTGAATAATCTGTGGGTAAGTTATGGTGCGAATTAAGACACATAAATTACGTCAAAATATAATACGTTTTCTACCTTAGTTTTGAATAACCTGTGGCTAAGTTTTGGCGCCAATTATTACATCCATATACGTCAAAATGATATACGTTTATGATCTTAGTTTTGAATAATCTGTGCGTAAGTTATGGTGCGAATTATGACACATAAATTCGTCAAAATCAAATACTTTTTGACCTTAGTTTTGAATAATCTGTCGCTAAGTATTGGCGCGAATTATGACATCTATATTCGTCAAAATGAAATACGTTTATGACCTTAGTTTTTAATAATCTGTGTCTAAGTTTTGGCGCGAATTATACATCTATCGTGTCAAAACCAAATACGTTTTTAACATACGGCCGTCATAGTTCGGACTGAACGACTGATAAATTACTCTTTAATCTCTGATATAAACTTTTTAGGTGGTAGTCTATTACTACTTCAAATAAACGGCCTAGTTCTGCTAACAGCGAACGTAGAAGACATAAAGAGGATAGCGCAGAAGATCGTACCCGAGTCATTGGCCGACAAGTTAATCGATTTCGTCATGAAAGCTACAAACAAGGAAATTAATGTCTCCCAAGAGAATAGTGATAATAAGGATATATCGGGTAATATATTTATGAATTCCTACATTCCTATATTTATTGGTAGTTTTTCTCTCAACTGTCAAAATATAACTGATTTTTGATGTACTACGACGACTTGTTTCGGAATCCTACCCTAAGGCTACTGGAAACTTTTTTTTAAAGGCCGACAACGCACTCACGAGCTCTCTGGGATTGAAAATGTCCATGGACACTATGACGATGAGCCTACTGCTCGTTTGCACCTTGTTCTATAAAAAAAGGTTAAATCTGCTTTCAAGACCTGTCAAACCATATTTGACAGTGCTCTCTCTGATTGAGACTTGTGCTACTTTTTGGAATACGGACCTAAGTCACAGTCTGAATATCATAAGGTGAGACCAGAGTCAAGAATTAGTATGAAGGCGAGGGAAATAAGAGGAATGTTTAAAGAAAGTTCTTTACTAAACTAGCATATTTATTAAATAATACAATACCAACTTCTTACAGCAAATGAATGGACGAAACCTAAAAAGTATAGACCAAATCAAGAGAGCTACCGAAAAAGCAAAGACAAAAGAACGGGTTTCAATTTAAACGATCGAAATTCAAATGAAAATAAACCAATACCCAAGAGCCACAGACAAAACCCATACACGTTCACCATAGATAGAACACCGGCCATTGTTTCCAAAGGCAACAGGAACATAGACAAGAATTTTGTGCGCAGTAGATTCATACAGAATGCAGATTCAGTACAGGAGGTTGTGTTACGTACCAACACGTTGACCACAGAGAAAGAGAGGACGGAATTCGATCAATATGACAATTCTAATTATCCGAAATCAGCTGGAGTAATAGCTACCAGTGGTAGGGTCGCGTTGACGAAACGACCGGGGACTGACAGTGATGAAAATGAATAGATTCTATTGAGTAATATTTATAATTTATTTTGTCCTGTGAAATTTAACTCTAAAGTACCGGTTAAAGTTATATAAAAAAAAGTGCGTGCGTACACATGTCAGAAGTGAAACTTCTTTGTTAATTAATTATTACTAAGGTAAAAGCCCCAATAGATGATCATGTCCCAGTATATGATCACTCCATGTATTTGTATTATATCTATATCACACTGTTTACACACATAATAAATGTGCTAATGATAATATAAATAAATAATCTGCGTTTACTGCACAAGTTATGCGACAGACTTGCCATCTAAAGTTCTAATATGTAACTACTAAACGAATACATCAACCAATAGCGTGTATTTTTTCTCGATGTCCCTTACTCTCTCTCAATCTTTCTCACTTTAGCTCTCTAGCACCCTTCGCTCCATGACACTGTGCGTGATGCGACGTTTACGCTACCTCACTCTCTCTCTGGATCTTTCTCACTTGCTTGCTCCGTACTCTCGCTCCTTGGCTATTTGATTCATGCTACGTTCGCCCTTTCTCACTCTCTCTCAATTGGTCTCAATCACTCTCCCTTTTCTTCGACAAAAACGCTGCACATCTTCGTAACGCTAATGTTATTATTATTACGTTAAATCAAATTTTCCCCTAATGCACAGTAACGTAATTAATTATTGGTTTATTAATACGGAGATATGCACAAAGTGCAGCAGTAGGAACGTATTATTAATTAAGTTAATTAACGTTAATTAAGGAATAAGAAAGCGATTTCATATGCTAAAAAAGGTAAATTAAAAAAATATGCATTCCTGCGTTATATATTGAGAAGTCGTTTCTGTCTCTTTAGGCGTTAGGTGGATATTTTGTGTTTTTGTACTTTTAGTTCATATGTAGAAAATACTAATGCAATTGTTTATATAACCCTTTATAAACACTGTACCAGGATTGATTGATTCAATCCTGAGGTAAAGTAAAATACTACACATGACATTCATAGTAAGTGTTACGGTTCCTGGGACATCGGGGTGCTTTAAATAATAGAGAATTTTAGTTTTACTCTATATTAACCACTCACGTACAGCAATAGAATATAAACGAAATAATGAAATGTTAATTGCTGTGTAACGAATGATGCAATGTAACAGTTGAAGAGAGTTCCTACGTCTGGCTATACTCTCGGGGCGTAACTCCCATGATTTAGTCAATTGCTATGAAACGAATGAATGCAATATAACAGTTGAAGAGAGCGCCTATGTCTGGCTATACTCTCGGGGCGTAACTCCGACGATGTAGTTAATCGTCACGCTTATAAAACTGAGAAAGCGTGACTGATAAATATGTACAGCCTTGGCTCAAACAGTAAGTAACCAACCCACGTGTAAAAGCATGCTCTAAGGCATTCGTCTGCCCATCTAGCACAAGGCCGGCTTCTCTTGGAGGAACTTGGATCACCAGGATTCACCAGTTTTTGTGTCCACCTGTCGCCGTTATCGGACACGCTGTACTGGCTTCAATACTTACATTTAAATGTTCTTCTGGCACCCGAACCTCACCACACATAGTTTCAGCACTGCATGAGTCGATACAATGTGATCGACCGTTTCTGATGAAAACTTGACGCGTTGGGCATTTTCTGAAATAAGTAGTTACATTAAGTACATTGTTTATTTATTTAATTAAATTCTAAACATTTTTATGAAACATATTCTTAAGAATCTTTCTACAAGTGCGCATGTGCAGTAGTTGCTCATTTGACTCGTTCGGTTGTTTACGAATTGTTAAGCTGCGTATAAATTAAGCGCGGCAGCCGCGCGAGCCAATGTTCGACCAGAGTTGACCTTCATTTGCCGCGCGAGCCAATATGAAGATGTAAATTTAGTTGGACGTGACTGCCGCGCGCGGCAGGCGATCGATCACAAACAGACCGCGGCAGATAGTCAGACCAACGACTGAAGCTCCTTTGATGCGGTCTCAAAAACCGACAGCGAGCGGATCGACCCGCGGCACGTTCGAGCGCGGCAATGTTCGAGTCGCCGCGCGCGGCGACCCCGTCTACATAGAGCGCGGCCGCCGCACGCGCCAATGTTCGATGGTTACCCCTTGGCCACAGTCACCTGCGGCGCGGTTTGCGGCGCGCAAAGCGGCGAGCGGCAAAAACAAATTGAGAAAATTGTATGAAGTATGCCACAGCTATCGGCGACGCGCATTGCGGTGCGACCTGCGGCGCGGTGGCACCCGCGCGGTGGCGGCGGCGGGGGTCTGCGCGGCGTGCGAGTGAATCAAATGCACTCAAGAGTATCGAGGCGGCCACAGCTAAGAGCGGCGCGCGCCGCGGCAGTGGTGGACGCATTTAGCATCGCGCGACCAAAACAAATAATTTTGTTTTTATCGCGCATTGAGCTCATATAAAATAATGGATACAAAACAATTTATTAGTGAAATACTGAGTAGACCAGCAATATGGATGTCAAAACATCCACATCATAAATATAGGCATGTTATAAAAAAAATTGTGGGACGACTAATAAAACTAACTAATATACTCTAAATATTGGCGCCGCGGTCGCAACTGGTCGAGCTGTGGCATACCACCGCAAACCGCGCCTCTCGCAGACCCTCTTGCCGCGCCGCGCTCCACACCGCCAGAAACTGTGGCCAAGCTCTTAGCCGCGCTTAATGTATACGCAGCTTAACGAATTGTCTCGAACATTTCCCCGAAGTGGGATGGTGAGTCAGAGTAGGGAATAGATTATAAAAGAGGTTGTGACATGCGCACGGGCAATTCCTTGGTATAACTTTGAAGTTATACAGTTTATTTGTAGTCAATGAAGTGCGTTATAGTGAATTAAGTTATTATTGGAGTGTTTAATTTCCGACATTAAGAACTAGATCAACTAGCCCTTACATAATATTGTGAAAAGCATAAATTTAAGTAACTTTGATTTTCTTATTTGGTGATTACGTCAACAGTAATTATTTACTTTTTAACATTTTTTTTTTTATAGAACGGGGGCAAACGAGCAGGAGGCTCACCTGATGTTAAGTGATACCGCCGCCCATGGACACTCTCAATGCCAGAGGGCTCGCGAGTGCGTTGCCGGCCTTTTAAGAATTGGTACGCTCTTTTCTTGAAGGACCCTAAGTCGAATTGGATCGGAAATACTTCAGTGGGCAGCTGATTCCACATAGTGGTGGTGCGCGAAAAAACTGCCTTGAAAAACGCTCAGTTGTGGAACGGCGGACGTCGAGGTGATACGGGTGGAATTTCGTATTCTGTCTCGACGTCCGATGATGAAACTCAGCTGCGGGTATTAATCCGAACAACTCCTCTGAACACTCTCCATGGTAAATGCGGTAGAAGATGCAGAGTGACCCCACAT